ATTCCAATTATTGTCAGGTCATCAAAAATTGGCTTCAGAACATAACTCCTTTCGGAAGTGTCCTTGATGATTGCTTTGCAACTCTGCCCGTGCATGTGTACTGCAAGATTCATACCCTTAGCAACCTAGAATTTCTACTTATTTGCTTATGGTTGTTCTCAAGCACCACAAACACAAAGGGTAAAGGAGCTAGCTTTCTTTGTTAGACTCTTAAGTGTTTTCAGAACAGGGACCAGGTCTACTCTTTCTTTTCCATCCCCTTCCCACCTTAGAGCTTAGTATAATGCTCTGCATGTCAGAAACATTTGTTAATTTTAAGACAGTCTCTTCCGGAAAGATTAGAGAACCCTTTACCAGGATGTCAGAAAAAAGGAACCTGGGTGGATGAGCACCCTGAGGTTACAGCATAAGCTAGATGCATCTCTCCTTCTCTCACATAAGAACAAATCCTAATGACAACTCATTGAAAAAGATAGATTTTTTTTTCCAGCTTTACTGAGGTATAAAAAATAGATTATCCAACCAATTTCCAAGGCTCTGATTTCTTTGTACCAGTGACTACCAATTTGTATTTTCAACCCAGACTAGTCTTTATGGGGCCTGTCTACTAGGTATTATTACTTCAGAGTCCCTTTACACTTCCAAACTGTCCAAAGCTGAGCTCATTTAGCCCCTAAAATATCAGGTCCACAAGAGCTGGGACTTGCTTTTGTTCACTGCTGGATCCCCAGGACCTAAAATAGTGCCTATCATGCAGGTGGGTGCTCAGTAAAGATTTGTTGAATGAACTGATGAATGAATGAGTGAAAAGACCTTCCCAGGAGGCCGAGTTTTCCATTAACGTTACACATTGCAAGAGTGTTCTCCAGCACTTGACAGTTAAGATTGAACCCTATACTTCTTCCCTTTATCTCATCCCTCCAGTCTCCTCTTCTTCCATCAAATCGCCCTCTCAGCTGCCTCATCCCTATCCATCTCTAAATATGCTCAGAATCTACTATCAAAAAACCACATGTTCCTTCATTATACAAGGCTATCCAGAAATCTGTTCTGAATCTCAGTTCTCCAGCCGGACCTCACCCTTCATACTCTTGTAATCTTGAAAACCCTAGAGCTCCCAACTTGCATCCCACTTTGTCTCTTCTGTGCCTTTCTCAGGCAAGGTCTGGCTTGCCTGCAATGCCTAGCTATCTCTTTCTTCTCCTTTAATACCCACTGCAGGCATTACCTCCCCTATGGAGCCTTTCCCAGTACCCTCCTCCTCCCAGGCAAGCAGACAAAGTGGTCGTCCTCTGTGCTCTCGTAATACCTTAATCCAGGACTTCCCAAACTTTTTCACATTTTGGTACACACAGAAGAAGGTTAAGGGTAAAGGGGCAAGGCTGTGCGTGGCCATAAGCAACTGGCCTGGGTCTCAGGACACCACAGTCCTTGTGCAGCAACATCTGGGTACACTTGTAACCCAGTCATGGCATACCAGCATGACATGTCACACTAGTTGGTAGCTCTGCTCTCAGCATGTCACAATCACTGCATTCACCCCACTGTATTATAATTATTTGTGTTTGCCCTTCATTGCACCTGTGAACTCCTCAAGGGCAAGAACCCTATAATCTCATTTTTCATGTTTTAAATTATCACACAGTAAAGTTGACTTTTCGATGTACAGTTCTATAAATGTTATCACATGTAGAGATTCCTGTAACCATGACCACAATTAGGATATAGAACAGCTCCATCACATAAGGTACCATCACACCCGTCCCTAACCCCTCACCCCTGGCAACCAAGGATCTGTTCTCTGTCACTATAGTTTTGTCTTTTGGAGAATGTCATATAAATGGAATCACACAGTACATAACCTTTTGAAACTGGCTTCTTTCAGCATACTGCCTTTGACATTTACCCAAAATTGTGTGTATCAACAGTTTGTTCCTTTTTCTTGCTGAGTCGTATTTCATCATGAGGATTTAACACAGCTTGTTTATCCAGGCATCCCTTGAAGGATGTTTGGGTTGTTTCCAGTTTGGGGCAATTGTGAATACAGCTGTTATCAACTTTTGTGAAAGGTTTTTCTGTGAACATGAGTTTTCATTTCTCTAGGGTAAATAGCCAGGAGTGGGACTGTATGGGTTTTATAGCAAACATATATTTAGCTTTATGAGAAGCTACCAAATAGTCTCCAAAGTGGCCATACCATTTTGCTGGTCCACTGTCCTGGCAATCAGTGAGAGTTCCGGTTGTTCCACATCCTGTCTAGCACTTGGCATTGCCAGCATTTTTCCTTTTTGCCATTCTAGTAGGTGTGGTGCACCATCCCACTGTAGCCTTGACTTTTATCTTTGTACCCCAGTGCTTAGCACATTGGTAGGTTATCCATAAATATTCATTAAACTGAAACCAACTCATCCCATTTTTTACTTCTGTTTTTAACCTCACTAATGTTTTCATTATACTTTCTACCAAGCTTTGTGTTTAAAAACCAAAGAAACTGCAGGGAAGTATTACATTCCTTCCTACCTGCCTGTACTCACTCCTTCTACCAAGTTCTAAATGAATCATTCTTCCTACTGGAAGATTAGAATCTTCGTACCAGAAGATACAGCAACACAACCTCTAACTTTCTCTCAAACTTACACTGAACCTGAAGGCTTGCGATCCAGATCGTTTCTGAAAGGCTCTGCTATCACTCCTATCCTACTAGCGAACCGTAAGAATCATCACCAGTAGGTAGATAATTGGATGAGCCAGGCACTGTGAAAGGAGATGTTCCTGTAATAACTAACTTACCCCCCATCCCCACGAGGTCGGTGTGATCCTCGTTTTACAGACATGAGGACTGAGACTTAATGAAACTGACAAAGTTGCCCACAGCCATACAGCCAGTAAATGAAGCACCAGGGTGCACGCCCAGGTCAGACTAGTTCCAGAAACTACAGTCCTAACCATTCTGTGAGGCAGCTCTACTGGGCAAAGGAACCAGGTGCTCTTTAATCAACAACAAAACAACCTCAAGTCCCTTTAATTTTGAAGGTTATAAAACTTCAGGAAAGTGAACCATTCTCAGGGACCTCCCAGTCTAGAGAGCCTGCACTGCCTGACTGGAGGACAGACTAAGGATTTTAGATCTTATTCCTGTGAAAAGTCAGCAGCACGAGTGAGACTCAGTTGAGCGAACTGGACCAGCATCACTTGCTCTGTGAAGACTGTCCCTGCCCGCTGAATCTTGAACCACGATTACACAGTTCTATGTTCTATAACTGATAGCATCCTCCACTGTAGACGAGCTGAAGTTATAATAATGGTTTGCTTTTTGTGTTGAGTCATAAAAATAAAATCATATTTTATGTATAAAAAGAAAACAAATAATATACTAACTTGGATCATCTAATGACTAAGTACATCCAGGGATAACACAGAACTCCAGTCTTCAGAGACTTACCTAGCACTGATTCTAATAAAACAAGACACACTAGACTTTTCACCAGATACATGGCGTTAAAACTATGGCCAACAAACTATCAAACCGGAATTCAGTGGTTTGGCTGTAGCATTTTGATTTACGATATTTCTTATCTCTTTCATTACCTACTTTCTCCCCAACCTGTAAACAATATGCTTCAATGAGCTTGGAGCTGAATCCTTTTCTTTTCATGTTACTGATCAGGCAAGCAAGAGACACAAATCTCAGGATCCTAGGTCTTAAGCAGTCATTCTCCTTAATCCAAATATATTCAATCATTTCATCCTTCAGGTATGAAATCAGGAAGAAAATGTGTGCACTAAAAAGAAAAGTTATCCAATGAAATGACATCACAAGCAAACCGTAGTTTTGGGAGATCATAGTTGCTAGTTCCAAAATGTCACAGTTTTGTGTGTTTTAATCCCATAAAATGACAACATCAGTTTCTAAATTTTCCTTACAATGAACTACATAACAGAAAGAGGTTTCATTTGCACCCGTGCAAGCCATCAAAACCATTTTAAAACAGTGTACCAAGTGATTATTACTATGGAAAATTATGGCAACTCTAAACACATTTGGCTCAAAGTGTCAAGTGATAAAAGTCAAGGGTAATGAATTTTACCCATTTGGAGAGCTTCTCTTAACCTGTGGCAGTTCCTTTATACGTGGGCCTCCACACAATGTTCTTATTGCAATGCTTTAACCCTCAATAATCACAGAATCTGCTGAAAGAATATCATTTAAACAAATCCCTAAGTGCCAGTGATTAATGAGAAAGCATTAAATAGCAGAATGACTGGAAACATTCCAATTAGCATTCCAAAGTGTATGCATTACTGACAAATTTCTCATACTTGAAACTTCAACAACCTTAAGAACGACTTACATATTTATATAAACCATAAGTCACTCATCAGGGATCTGAAATTTCTGTAAAAAGTTTTTTTCCAAAGGAGAAAAAACTTATTTATCAAGACCACTGAAGATAAAGAAGCAATTAAATACAAACCAATTTGTATAGCCAACAGAGCATTTTCTGTTTAAAAATCAAAACTTTTCATCCTGACAGATATATTTGTCACTGAGAAGATACCGCTTTTAAAAAGAAAATAAGCACAGCACAATCCAATTTCCCTTGCAAAAAGCACCATCAAAAGTTTACTGTGAATGATAGCCTATTATAATACCATATATAAGGACGAGCAGCTAAAAATCAGTTTCTCTCTTCCCAAAAGTGCCTCTGGACAGTTAGTCTTAAGGAAATAAACAGCCAAAGTAGTATAATGGTTGTTATACTTTTCTTGGACAGGATAGTCCTGCCTCACCTCCGATATTCTTTTTTAAAAATTAGAATTACCGAGACAAAACTCAGAAGGCTCCCATCACTTGTCTATCAAAGGCATCATTTTTGTAGAATTCTGAGACATGCTCTTCAACCCATGTGCAAATAAATTTATCCTACCGAAAAACATAAGCTAATCTCAGAAAACAATGATAAGACCCCGGATATTTGTACTTGAGGACTAGTACTCACTGGCATATATGTTCTCCTTCATCCTCTACTGCCTGGCCGAAGCCCCAGGGAATGGAAAAAGTCTGCCAAGTTTCTCCTTCAAGATCATCGTCCATCGTAGGAAGGCAAAACAGCCCACCTTTTCCTAAGGAGGGAAGGAAAGAACTCCGTTCTTTATTCTTTTAAAAGAAGAATGATTGTATCATAGCAAACAACTGCTAGGCAAGAAGAGTGAGAGAGGAAGGAGAGGAGGAATCGATGCTGAGAGGCCAATCCTATTTCATCCCTCAGCTACTTGGAAACCAGATATGCTTAGACAATCACGTGCTTTGAGAGATTTGAGGATGCAAAAGAGGAGTCGCTCTGTCTTTTGTAAATTATTAACGGACTTTTTTTTCCTGACCAAGACCGAAGCAGCACAGGTTACCCATTTAAGAAAAAAGCAATCAGGGTTGGACTCGAGCACATAAATCGACACGTCAAGAAACAAGATTTCTTCTGATCGAAGTTCTGCCCCCGACCACTATGAATCAAGCCAACCCAGTGCAGTTAGAATCAAAACTGATAGTATACTGGGAATGAACTGGCACCTTCTGAAGGTCTGAGGTCACAACTGCAGTTTCCGCATTTGCCTCTGACGAAAATGAGTATTTGCTCTTCCTCATCTGAGAACTCACTACGGGGTATTTTGCGCTGTGAGCTGGAATAAAGCCACCTGCACACAACTCAGACAGCTCTCTTAGATTTCAAAGGGCTGCTAACTGCTCTCATGGCTTTCTTGTGTTTCATCCAAATTTGATATGTAGCACGTCTACCTTAAAGCTATTCAAAAGTTGCCAATTTTAATGCTAGATCCTACCCAGCAATTTAAACCCAGTGGAAAAATGCCAATCCGGGAAGCTTTCAGAAAGTGTTGGTTTCTCACGGCCAAGACAGGGGACATCGGGGGCACACTGTGTTGAGCAGTTTGGAATGTCTCTTTTTCTCTAGACCTGGATTTCTCAACCTCCGCATTATTGACATTTTGGGCCAGATATTTCTTTGTTGTGGGGCTGCCCTGTACACTGGAGGTTGTTGAGCAGCATCCTTGGCCTCTAACCACTAGACGCCAGCAGCATCTCCCCAGCTGGGACAACCAAAATGTTTCCAGACCTTGCCAAGTACCCCCTAGGAGTTAGCATCACTCCCGGCTGAAACCACCGTGCTAGACTCATTGGTTGGGTGAAGTTGCTCAAAAGAGGAGGAATGTTATTTACATTTGAGATAGGCTCCTGCCAAAGACAGGTGGTAGGTAAAGTCAAGGCTGTGGGTGAACCATACAACTCATATGCAGGTGGCCAATTTGATTTGTCAAAATAGAGACGTAGCTGAGGTGGGGAATACCAACTCTCCATGGACATCTGCTAAACTGCTCACTACCTGTGATGATTAATTCTGTGTCACCTTGACTGGGCTATGGGGTGTCCAGATTTTTGGTTAAACATTATTTGGGGTGTACCTGTGAGGATGCTTCCAAATGGATTAACATTTGAATCAGTAAACTGAATAAAGAAGACTGCCCCCCCACCCCCACAATGTGAATGGGCCTCATACAGTCCACTGAAGGTCTGAATAGAACAAAAGGTGGAGGATGGGAGAATTTGTTCTCTCTGCCTAGTCTTGAGCTGGGCCATGGGTCTTCTCAGGCACTCTGACTGGAACTGACACCATTGGCTCTCCTGGGTCTCCAGCTTACAGATGGCAGATCATGGGACTTCTCAAACTCCAGAATCATGCGAGCCAATTCCTTAGAATACCTCTCTAGGAACTCTTGTCCAAATATGTGCGTGTGTGTATTCTATTGGTTCTGTTTCTTGGAGAGTCCTAATACACTACTATAGTTTGCAAGTCTCCCAAACCTGCCATTTAAAATATGTTAATTTCTCCTTCGTTACAGATCCTTCATTTTACCTTGGTTTCTGTCATCCCATTGCAAGTAAGTTTTGCTCTGGCAAACTATTCTGAGCTGATCTTTGACAGCCAAACAAATCTAGGCAGAGATAATGAGGACATAGATTCCCTGTCTATTCGTGTAACCTTAACCAACCCCAGTTGAGATGCTTCCTTATGAGCCTCAGATTAGCACACACACACAAAAAGCCTTTTCAATTAAACACAATAACAGCAGTCTATTTAAATTCAACACTGAGAAAATTAGGCAGATGATTTCAAAAGCAAAAGTGCAGTTCGAGTCCACAGGTGATGGCGGACATCTTGTCATTAAGAAGAATGGTAGGTCTAAGGGAGCAGTCTTGCAGAAAGGAAGTTGTCTTGGGAGACGAACAGCCTTCGGAGCCTCAGAGTTTGCTTTCTGAGTAGCAGTGGGTGTGACCCAAAGGAAGGCAAGGTCCTTACATGGTAAACTGTGTCAGTACGGCTGTCTGTCCACTCCAGGGCTTATTCTGGAAATTAGTGCGGAGGGTCATTCTCTGAAGTGCTGAGGTTTGTGCTTTCAGGATCCTCTGAAAAAAAGGGTACTGAATAGGCAGGGGAAGAGAGGTGCATGCCCCATTTGCTTTGGGACAGGAAAGAGAAACAGTATTTAAATGAGCACACTGGTGTCCTGAAATGGGTAACCCATGTCCTCCTCTATGGACTGGATTGGAGGAGAAGGAAACGGTCTGCCTTGGGAAATGTCCAGGATGCTCAGTGTGGCCTGGATGGGGGGAAGGACCCTCCAGTTAAGCGCCGGGTCCTCGAAGCAGGAGCTTCAAGAAATAAATCTATTTCTAGCCTATTTCCCAGCTTTATTCCTTGGCTGTGTGCTGTGGATTTTTCTTTTCTTTTCTTAACTTGGCAACACTCATTTCTTAATAATGTCAAGAGCTACCAACTGGATTGCTGCAGCTTTACATCATTGCTGGATAGCAAGGATTTACTAAAAACCAACCAAATGGTCTGCACAGTGGCAAATATGAAAGACTTAGATCACGTGTTGCTACCCTCAAAAAGCTTAAATTCTAGGATTCTATGGAGAGATGGTAAATATCCAAGAGCTGCAGATTTGGAACATTTCATGTCATGTTCTCATTTGTTCTTACATCAAACTGGATTATTTTGCCTACTTCAAAATACTAAGGTATACTTTGAGTGATTTTATTTATTATTTTTTAAGATTTTATTTATTTATTTGACAGAGAGACAGAGAGAGAGAGCACAAGCGGGGAGAGGGGCAGAGGGAGAGGGAGAAGCAGGCCCCCCGCTGAGCAGGGAGCCTGATGTAGGGCTGGATCCCAGGACTCCGGGATCACGACCTGAGCCGAAGACAGACACTTAACCAACTGAGCCACCCAGGCGTCCCATTGAGTGATTTTAAATTACCTATGAACATAATCATCTTTTTTGACTAGCCAATAGAAAAATAAGACTACTATTTTATAGTTGAGAAGATAATTTTACAACGCTCTAAGGAAGCTGTTGAGAATTATTTCAAATTGTTCAGATAAAGTCCTTAATTCTGGGTCTGACATTCAAGGTCTGACATTTCAGTGCCATCATCTTCCACCTCCAAACATTTGTTTTTTCTCTGTCCTCCCATTAGAACGCCAATTGCCTTCTTCCTGACCAAAATCAATCTTTCCTCAAACACCTGATTCACAGCTTACTCTTATGATGCCTTCCTCTTTCTCTAAGAGAATTAATCTCGCCACTTCAGTACTTGGAAAGGACACAGTACCTCTATAAAGCAACTATCACATTCTGCCGTACATGACAGGTACTTGTGTATAATTTTGCAAAGCTCACTTATTGTGCTAGTAGGCTTCTTGTAGCTACTTCAGCATTTTCTACATAGATGATCATGTGATCTACAAATGAAATCAGTTTTGCTTCTTCCTCTTCTTATCCTTCTCTCCCCACTTCTCCCCCCTGCCTTAATGTACTGGTTAGAACCCCCAGTACAATACTGAATAGAAGGGAAATCCTTGCCCTCTTCCTGATCTTATGGGGAAATCATTCTTAAATAGTGGCAAGAGCTGATAAACTGAATTTTATAAAAAAAAAATTTTTTTTATCAAAAATTTTTAAAGTGTGGTGTTCAACAGGGTGGATGCAGAGAAAATATTTTTGTGTTTCTGCAGAGGTGGGGATTTCTGAATAAATTTTGCTGAAAACTTGGGATCCAGAGCGAAGAGCAAGCCTTGGGAAGGTAATTTAGAACAGTATAGATACTGAGAGAACTCCAGAGAGATTCACTTAACTCTGGAGGTTTGTGTTAACATTTCAAGGGAAAATGAGGCTCCAGGGCCTTGGGGAGCCAGCCATTCAGGCTTATCAAGTCATTAAAAAGATACATTCCAAAAGGTTAGAGTGAGAACCCAGGATCCTTTCACCCCATCCCCAAGAAGCAAAAGTTTTATTCCCTCTTTTTGAGAGAAGAGGCGGAGACAATTGCCTTTTTCTCCTGTATATAAGCAGAGAAAATCCATTCTTCTCCATCCCTCACCTATGCATCATCTGGTCCCTCACAGGAGTGATTTTTTCCCTCTGACTTTAATTGTGAGGCCCCAGGCGGTAAGGTCTGGGGCAAGGAGGCCAATGCAATGATTATTATGTAAATAACACTAATGATAGTCTGTCTCTGATTCAGAAACCTCATGAACACAATCAGGATAAAATTAATGAGATGAGTATTAAAAACCCAACGAAAAGACTCTATGCTTTGCTTCCTCTGTCTCTCTTGCTGCAGGAAGCTATAAAGAATAGGTCTTAATTTTCTGAAAATTGGTAAATGCCTTTGGGTCAAGAGCAGCTTCTGTGCTCATTTACCTGTTGGGTTTCTCCTTCATTTTTTTCCTTTTTTTCCCCCCTCTGATTAAATATACATAACATTAAATTTGCCATTCTAACCATTTTTAAACGTACAGTTCAGTGACATTAAGTACACTCACAGTGCCATGCAACCATCACCTCTATCCATTTCTAGAACTTTTTCATCATCCCCAAAAGAAACTCTGTACCCCTGAAGCAGTAATTCCCCATAACCCCTTCCCACAGTCCCTGGTAATCTCTATTCTACTTTCTGTCTCCATGAATTTGCCTACTCTAGGTACCTCCTCATATAAGTGAAACCACACAGTATTTGTTCTTTAGTGTTTGGCTTATTTT